AATGACAACCAAATCCATACATTGTGTCCCATATGAAAAAAAAAAGGTTAAACTAATTGCACAGTTTTATAAGACACATGCTGTAGTTATTGGCTATGAGTCAATTGATTTGGTAGAAAAAGGAAAATATGGAAACTCAACTGTCAGAGTTGTTTTTAGGTTTCTTATTAGCTTTCAGGTTTTTGGTATGGATGTATAGGCTAGATTTATTACAGTAGGTGTTTGTGACTTGTTGGGGATAAATTTCAACAATAAACAAACAGTACACAGTCCACTTATTTTAAAATAATATATTAAAACAAGTCAAATGTATATATAAATGTTTGTTATGCTGTGGGTTACCACAGTTGTATCCAGAGCTTTAAATAATCTTTTTTTTTTCATCCACATCAGCACATGCTGGTTCAGTTACCATAGAATACAATTTTACATGAGGAATTATTCTTCTCTACTCTATTATTACAATACAGTCTGTGATAATTTTGCTTTAAAATCACTACTATAACTGTTGGTTATCACAGTTGTATCCAGAGCTTTAAATAATTATCTCTTTTTTCATCAAAGTTCACACAGGCTGGTTCAGTTACTTTAGAACACAATTTTAGATGACTATTTATTCTTTTCTACTTTGTTATTACAATACAATCGGGGATAATTTCACTTACATTACACTGTTGGTTACTGCAGTTGTATCCAAAGCTTTAAATAATTGTCTCTTTTTGTCAACAGTCGACATAGGTTTGTTCAATTACTTTAGAACACAGTTATTAACAAGACAAATTAATTTTCTGTACTCTCTTGTTACAATACAATCTGCAAAAATTTCACGTAAAAAAAACGCTACTATGTGCTTTTTATGGCTCGGCTCACAAACATGTAGTCTAGATCTACTTGACTATATCTTTTACTAACTTAACTTGCTTTCACTTAACTTCTATTATTGAACTAATTTCTGGACACTTAGATATACACACACAACAGCAGTCTTGAACATTCCACACACTACCAGATATATGATGCAACAATACTTACTTTACTCTTCACTATGGGCTCGGTTCCAGGTACCGACCTCATAACCATTTTTTGCTTGTTATAGTTTTCATGCTATAATTTTTAATACAGTTAGCATATCTTCATTGAACTTTTGCAGATTATCAATAAACATAATAAGGCTTTCGAACCAGAATATCAGATTTCTTTATTAAGTTTTAAGATATTTTAAGTAATTTTTTATTTTCGAACGTTGACTATCGAACAAGTAATTTTGATTTTAAGATTGAAAATACTTTTATGCATCAGAAAATTTCACATGCAAAATCTTTATAACATTCAGATAATTATCAAACTTTTTTTTTTTTATAAAAAACTTTATATCTTATCTGTTATTTTCACTACTGTATCTGTACAGATTTGGTGGATTTGATCAACCATAGAAAATTAGGAATTAGATATAAATTATGCTTTTTTCATTCTAGAGTGACTACAGAAAACACAATTGTTTATTCTAAATAGCTTAAATCTCAAATATCTCTATATATATTTATTATTTTAATTTTATTGACCTTTCAGCCATGCCTGACTAACATCACAGAAGTTGCAATGACACAGCACAAGTGCACTCATGTTACCTTATCCAAGAATATGAAACTGGCTTTTACAAAGTGACCTGTCTTGGCTTTGGTCTAATGGACCAGTAGTTTGTAAAATACAGTCTCATATCTGTTATAATACATTATATATGTATATATATTATTACTACTTACAAATATGTTCTTAAATTTCAGTTACTTTTCTTAAAACATTGAACAGTAAACAAAGAAGTATAGAAAACAATTGTCTCTTCTAGTTATGAACTTTGTACTCATTTGCTGCTTGCCACAATTTGCTAAGCCTTATAAATTTTGCACATGGAGAATGTAAAACTAAATATTTTTCTTTAGGTTTTGTATATGCATTTCAAAATAAAAATAATCATAAGTTACTAATCAGTACCACAGATATCCACTATAACTTACCAAGCTGGTAAATATGCTGTATTTGTGTCTAGAAAATATGATATTTTGAGCTCACTAATGTCTTACCTTACCGCTTGGAATCTAGCATGAAAAGAAAGATTATCCTATGCAAATGCTTTGCAGAGGCTGAGAAAACAGCGGACATTCTAAGCTTTTGATTGGTTATACACACATTACTGGACAAAGTAGGTGTACATAAGCAAGTATTTTCACAAAATGGAAGAGGTTGGTTCAATAAATGTATTAATATCTCAGAAAATAGAAAATATAGGAGGTTCTTTTCTTAGATTCTTGGTTGTCAATATCAGTAATTTGTATCTAATTCATAAGAAACTATAGACTTTGTATTTGGACATCACAAACATCTAATTTGAACCAATGCTGCATCAACATACCACGTGACACACAAAAGTCAATATTTAGGTGTTTTTTTTAATATGTATATTTAAATGAAGAAATTAACTAATGTATAATACTAAAATTTAAATTATAATCTACAATTTGATACCAAACTTATTGACATATATTCATAAAATAGTAGTTCAATAAAATTTTGAATATTAATCTACAAATGGGATGACTTAGCCTTTGACCCATGACCATAGGTAAACCCATGTCGGTAGGGTTAAAGCAACAAGAAAAATTCAGAAGATTTAAGTAACATGACCTAATAATACAAATACCAATTCAGAACAGTTGAACTACACAACATATGATCCATACACATTTACTAAAACAAACCTATGATAAACTATCGCTTTTAAAAATAACTAAATTTAACACTTGTGCTATACTTAAATTAAAACAGTTGTTACATCTAACATTAACGAGGAAAAAGTATGACAATATTCCACCACACTTTTATCAGACATGATAATCATATATAATGTAGAGAAAAAAAGCTGTATTTGAAAAACTCAGTATTTGTCCTTCATGAATATGTCAAGAAGTTGAAAGACACTGACTGGTGACATTATTATGCTCGAACAATGCGAATTTGCTCATACAATATCCAAAAAACAGGAAACACCTCAACTGTGATATTTGATATGTTTTCACCTGTTTGTGGTCAAATTCAAACATAGTTTGCTATGAAACGATTTTTATTTATTGTCAGAAGGTGTTCCAAAAAGTTCTAAGACACCATTCTGGCTGCTAAAGTAAATGCTGGAACAGTGTTCTTGTGCATTTTGCTACATCTTGTGCTGTGGAAGAAATGCTAAATCTCTTAATAACTGAGTCATGAAACATAAAATGAAAAATCCTTATTATAACCATAAACACAAACATAGTATGTATACTTTTCTTACACAGGACTCATTCACTTTTACTCAATTCTTGCAGTTGTTTCTCTTTCAATAATCTGTTATAGACTGTTTAAATGCAATATTCCTTAGTTCACAAGAAATATATCATTTAACAAGAGCAACTAGCACTACCCGTATGACTGGTCATTCACTTATTCTTTTTACAACATAGGTGAGGTCGTAAGCTTTAGATGTCATCTAGATGGCCATTAAAGGACAGTGCTGCAACCAAACCTACAGGCAGTGCACATATTATCCACTCAAGGACAAAGAAACAAAGGCAGTTAAAATGAAAGTAACTTAGCAACCTTTGCAGCCAAGTGTTACATGAAACCTGTAAATGTACAAAATGGAGAATAAATGCTATGATATCACAAGAACATAGACATGCATGGTGTAGTTATATACCACAGTTTTAATCCTTTTTCTTCTTTTTTTTTACAACTGTCCTATACTATGATGATCGAATGAGAGGTAAGAATAAGTTGAGAGGTATTGCAAAATAGAATAGATAAATCCATGCAAAGTCTATAATTCAGAAAAATATGAAGAATATAACTAAAAATGCTCTTATATTAATTGTTGAAATATGAATATTTTGTATAAATCATGTAGTTTAAAACTTCAATCAGTCAAACAAGTACCTCAGAATTTGTCAATCACCATACTTTTAAATAATGAATCACTAGTAGTCTACATTTCTTTATTTAGAATGCATCAAATTTGCTTCAGAATAGACAAAACTTGTGTGTTTAAAAGTTGCCATACCAAAGTACAGCAGTCATCATAACACTGAGTGAAAAAGGAAGTAGATACAAATTTTATTGATAACCACAGTTTTACTAAAAGTTTAACAGCTGTAAAATATACTGAACTTTGTTATTAATGCATTTATATCTAAAGTACAGGATTTAGTTTAGAAATGATCATATTTACAATATATTAACTATTGACTGAATTTTTGAGGGTTTTTTGTTTGTTAAAATATATGTGTATTTAGATATAAAAGTATAATAGCAGTAACATAAACAACAATAGTGAAAAGAATATTCTTGCGTTGTAAAGAACATATTGATTTATATTGTCTTTACGTTAATTATATTTTAAAATGTAGCACTCATATTTTTATTGTATTTGTAATAACTAGCTTCTAAGTAGTGTGAATATAATTTTATCTGTTCCAGTTTTATATTTTTCAAAATTTACTAAATATTTTATATAAATTAAATACTGATTTCAGACTGGATATACTTCATAGTAAAATTTAAGCCATCTGTAGTTCAGTGACATTTACTAGGGACTTCACTTTGTAAAACAAAAGGGTGAAAAAGGTGTACTCTATGATTGTTTTTTGGCTTTTTAATTTTAATTTGAAAAAACATTCAATGTTTGTTTGTAAATGTCATTTAAGTAATTTGTCTTCACAGCTTTATTACTGAAGAGTTAAGATTTCTCTTGTGGAATAAGATATTAAATGAACATAAAATGAGGTTTTAATTATTAACTTAAAAAAGGTTACATATTTTTTACACATGTAAAGATCCTAATTGCCACTAGATACAAAACTAAAAATTTATAACCAATATTTAAGTAATAATTATGAATAAAAGGAAATATGCAATCAGTTTTTGCAATGAGAGACTAATGAATTCTTTATACTTCTGTACTTTGTTTACAGGATGAAGTAGATGCAGAAGAAATGCCAGTTTCGCCTACAGTGTCAAGTGGAAACAAAGGTCCTGAATCATCTATCCATGAGGCAGTAATTGTGATCAGTGGAAAAATGGAATCAGAAAGTAGTTACACTGTTTCATTTACAGTATACTTCAGAAAGTAATTGGAAATAGTTAATCACTAATATTGGCATGTTTGAAAATAAACATATTATTTTATTCTATAGGTGGGTGACCCAATTCAGGCTCAAGCCAAATGCCTGTCTATGACTCATATCACAAATATTGAATCTGCTTGAGCCATTTATAAGTCAAGCAGAAAAATGGGTGCAAAATGTATTTGTGAGTCAGTGCTATGTTAAGTCAATGAGGAAAAAAAGAAAATATGAGTATGTAGATAGCTTTGTAAGTAATCACATCTAAGTGTGACAAAAAAAAGGATGTCTTTTTGATAAAATACTTAACATTTAATTTTGGATTTATAATTTTAGTTCAAGTAAAAAAAAAAAGCTACAAAATTTTATTTTCAGTCTAAAATGCTCAATCTCTGTTGTGTATTCATATATATGTTTTTGGCTTATAGAGCCAAGCCAGTGGTCTGGTTTGGCTCAATCTTGAAGATTGTGGTTCACCCACCTGTATTTCCTTCATCACAAAAATAAAAGAAAGTGTGAAGCAAGCTTATTTCTCACAATTTTTAATGCAGTACCGCAGAAAGAAACAGAACCCTAGCACTCTATTGTTAATATCCATGTAATTTACTGTTATATAATAGTCTTCTGTGACTCCAGATATTGCTTGAATACTTCTTTAAGATATTGAACTCTCCTATCATTTTACTTGTCAATAACATATTTCATTAAAATATTGAACTGTCTTATACTTCACTTCAATAAATTTCATCACTAAGATGAACTCTTCTGCCATTTCTCTTGTGTACAGAGTAATATATTCAGATCAAGAAACCTCCTGTCATTAATTTTGGATATGATTACATATTCTTTGTTTTCATAACATAATGTTGTGTAATAATATTAAGTCGGGTTATTAAGTTAATTGTTACTGTCAGTGATATAAAGGCCTAAGTCAAGAAATTTTTCCTGTTGTTGTTGTTATTTTTCACATGTTGGAGAATGTGTGTGCTGTTGTTGAAATTTTCTTTGAGAGTACCATAATAAACAATTAATGAAAACTATTCGAATTAAGATATTGGAATGCAGGTTAGAGTTTAGAATTATTAGATAAATTATAACCACAAACTCCAAATGTAAAAACTTAATTTTTACTCATTGATTTGGCTTCTGCTCTTTTTCTGAAGGCAAAGTGTGAAATTAAACATGTACAAAATTTATTTATAAAGCACTTAAAGTGTAATCAAAAATGTAAATATTTCAAGAATGCTAAGTATTATTATATCACTTAATTATCATTTCACTGACCCTTAACAGCTTTGAATAGTTTATGTCTAACAATTCACTCTTCCTTATATAATCAATAAACTTTAAATGGATTAGAATTAATTTTACAAAAAATTTGTTTTCAAAAGTTTCATTAAAATATTGAACTGTCTTATACTTCACTTCATTAAATTTCATTAGTTAGTTTTTCATGATATTATTTTTGAGTTGTTTTATATATATATTAATGTCAAAAATATTAGGTATTTGGAAAAAAAAATAGAACTCTTCTAATTATTTGAAATTGTAATCAACATACTTAGCACAACCTCCCAAACATTTCAACATCAAAATCGAAACATGCTCTTACCAGCATCAATGAAAGTAACAAGTACACTGCATTTTCTAGTAATACATTCCATGTCAGTTATCACATTTAAACCCATGCTCATCAATTTTTAAAATTGAGATCAAATCCCTTGATTCCCTCATCATTTTTTACTGTTGTGCTCATTGTGTAATTAATTTGTGTTACAAAACATTCATTAATAATTTTATGTAATGTTTATACCACGCATTTATTTATTTATATATATATATATGCTACCAATACCCATCAACAAATACTCTAGTAGTTTATACAGCTACCACATGAATCACTTTGGTAACTTTCTGATTACCCTCCAAAGCTATGCTCAGTAGCGATGATTGTGTCATAAAGGGGCTGTCATACTCTACTCATTTATATTTCAGTCTTAATGAAAAATATAATTACTAGTAATATTTATATAAATAGCATGCTTGTGTTTGTCTGCCTGGAATTTTTCTCGCAAATTTCTTGATCAAATGCTACAAATCTCGTATTGTTAGTAAAGCCTTTGTGTGAGGAGTCTGTATTGCATATTGGCTTTTCAATTCAGAATCACCTTACCTGTTTTTTGCTTCATCAAACTTTTAATTCGAGTGTGGTACACAATGTCTATTAGATGTATACGACTGTTTCATTTAAATTTAATATGAAAGTTACAATTTAGATAGTTATAAAGCATGAGTGTTGAATTTAGTATTCTTAGAAGTGATAATTTATTGCAGACTTGTGTACAAATCATATGTTATGTAGCTCACTAGCCGGTGATTGTTATATTTTTGCATCATGTTACTAGAACCATCTAAGTTTTTCTTGTATTTTCCTTGAGTATTGTTACATCATAACATCTCATAGTTTGTAGATAGTTCTAGGCCTCAGTTGAGCAATATATATAGGTGACCAAGTTAGTGCAAGTTAAATTAGTAAAAGTAATGTTAGACTGCATGTGAGTCTAGCCACAATAGGCAATTTCTAAAATGAGCTTCTTAGCTTGTATTGTAATAACAGAGGTAGAAGAGAATAGTTTGTTTTGTGAAATGGTGTTCTAAAGTAATTGAACCCACCTGTGTGGACTTTGATAAAAAGGAGGCAATTATTTAAAGCTCTGAATACAACTGTCATAACCAGTAGTGTAACGAATATTTGTACATGCATTCAACTTCTTTTTAATATATTATTTGAAAACAAGTGGATTGTGTGCTGTCCGTTTATTGTTGAAATTTATCACCAAGTCAAAGACACCTACTGTGAAGAATTCTGCCCACACATACATAAAAACCTAAAGTTCTGGAAACAACTATGGTGATCAACAGTAATAGTGGTGATTTTAAAGTGAGTATCACAGCCTTGTATTTTAAAAACAGAATAGAGGAGAATAATTTGTCTCATCAAAAGGTGTTCTAAAGTAAGTGAACCTGCTTGTGTGGACTTTAATGGAAAAGAGGTAATTATATAAAGCTCTGGATACAACTGTCATAACCAGTAGTGTAACGAACTTTTGTACATCCGTTTTACTTGTTTTGAATATATTATTTGAAAACAAGTGAGTTGTGTGCTGTCCGTTTATTATTGAAATTTATCACCAACAACTCATAGACACATACTGTAAAGAATCCTGCCCACACATACATAAAACCCCGACAGTGGCACAATGTTATTGTCATCATGTAATGATTGGCTTTGATTTCAGCTTCAGTTTTTTTTATTTGCAAAGTATTTTACACAAACAACACTGAACTTGTGTGTATATTTCTTAAAGAATTAACATTACACTAAATACAATTTCTGTGGGCCTACTCAGTTTATTTAAGTTTAAAATACGCATGCACAGTTTGTTCAAAATCATATGCTTATCACTTTGTGAACATGCATTCAGATGTTTCTGCATATTGAGCTGTTTACCTTCATTACAACTTTACGTTTACTATACTTTACAATAAATTAGCTATATTTTTGTTTTGTAGACTTCTATAAACACCTTTAATCTACTTTTTTCTATACTACAGGTTTTATTCTTCATTTTTGTGAATTCCTTTGTTTCAACTCATGAAACTGTATCATACACTGAACACTCATAACTGTTTCATACTTTGTACGCTATTATAAGTACCATTACTTTATTGTTTATTGTACATGTAGTTTTATTAGATAAAGTTATATCTACACAAGTTTGTTTGTCTGACCATGTAAAATGTTTTCAAATAGACCAGGATTTATCAATGTAACACATAATGCTTGCAAGAAAGCATAGCTTAAATGGCATGAGTGAAAATGATCGAATGAGCAAAATTCAAGAAAAGAGCATGAAAACTACCACAAATGATTTATGGGTTGCAACTAGTTTAGCAAAAAATCTTAGTCAGGATTAAAATTTATGCTTTACTACTGTACCACAATGTACACTCAAAGGAAACAACAACTTCATAACTTGTAGACTTCACATATCTTCCAGTTAAATAGATGAAAATCTAATGACTATAGAGTATAGTGCTCAATAAAGTTCTCTCCACCCATCTAGAGTATGGGAGTGATTCTATCAAAATATTGAATGGTATCTCATATCAGAAAATACACTGAGTAGCTCAGAAAGCAAGGGTTGCAATGCCCTTTCAATCACATGATTATTTTAACCTAAGATGAGTGAGCAGTAGTCACAAAATGCATTTCATACATTATGCTAGACAACACTACCTGATAGCTTGGAAAGCAAGGATTGCAAAGCTCTTTCAACTGAGTTTCCAAAGTTTTATTTACCATCTTTAATTGTAGAAACTGTTCATGTACTGGGTATCATATCTATTCACTGCAGCTGTCTTATATTCTGGTGACTGAGTTGTAATCAAACAGTTTAGTGTATACATGGTACTTCACGTTATCATACAAGGCCTTCTGAAGTCAAGAAGTTTTTGACACCCTTTCAGTCACATAACTTGTAGCTGTAAATGATCAAGTGATAATCCTACAGTATAATGCATACTTCATATCTCAGTGCCACTTGATAGCTCAAAAAGTAAGGATAAAAAGCCACTTCAGTTATTGGCTTCTGGACCAAACAACCATTCTAAATATATAGTCAAGTGTAAAACACAAAATTTATTGCTTACATTTTAATATGCATCACTTGATAGCTTTTAAAGCAAGGATTGGCACATCATTTCAGTCAGTGATTGTGCAGATCAGCCAACATCCTTACTATCCTTGATCAAGTGGTGGTCACAAAATGTAGCTTATACATTACATCAGAAACATCACTCGATATATTGGAAAGTAAGTGTTGCAAGATTCTTTTCGTTGTTCGCGTCTTGGCCAAATTACCATCCTAACTACTGACGATTAATGTTGATTCTAAAAGATAGACC